GTCACATGATCCTTAAGAAATCATTCTAATATGCTGATTTATTATTAGAATGATCGATGTTGGCAACAGTTGTGCTGCCAAATATTTTTTGGGAAACTGCGATAATTTTTTCAGTATTCTTTGCATAAAAAGTTAAAGAGAACAGCATTTATTCAAAATATAAATATTCTCTAACAATATAAATATTACTTCTTATCAATTCAACACATCCTTGCTGAATAAAAGTTTTAATTTCTTTCAAAAAAAGAATGAATAAAAATGTACTGACCCATCATGTGACACTGAAGACTGGAGGAATGATGCTGAATATTCAGCTGTGCATCACAGGAATAAATGAGATTTTAACGTATATTAAAATAGAAAAAGGTTATTTTACATCATAATATTTCACAATATAATTTTTTTTTCCTGTATTTTTGATCAAATAAATGCTGCCTTGATGAGCATAAGAAACTCCTTTAAAAACCATAAAAAATCGTTCTGATCACAAACTTTTGAACGGTAGTGTGTATATAGCATTATTATTTTTATTATTATATTATTAATTCTATATTATTTTGCCAGAATGTTTATCTTCTCAACACAGGTAAATCACTGAAAATATTTTCTTCCTGTAGTCACATTATTAGGAAGACTCAACAGCTTTAAAATGTGGGACCGTGGGAATTGGCCACCCTAATTAAATACGGTTCCGCACCTGTCTGAACCGTTCCAACAGCACTCAAACTTGTCGAAAATGCAGTCATTCTCGTAGAGTGAGCACAACTTGCTACGTAGGTACTCGTGTACCTGAAACAGAGAAGCACATGTGAATCAGCAACAAAACCCAACAAAGAAATGGTCATATCACTTGCAAGATAACACATTTAAGCGGGTGTGAAACTTTGGGGAGGTGCCGGCAGTATTTGAAAAATGTATTAATTGTAGACATGAAACACCATGTTCTGAAAACATGACAGTACAAGCTCTGGAATGTCAGCTGTTGCAATAAGATCTCTACTGTACCTGGTAGGTCTCTACGGGCCGGTTCTCCATATTCAGATCCCAAACCTTAACGGAGAGGTAATCGCGGGTCATCATGTATCGACCGCTGTGGCTGAACTTGACGTCAGATATGGAGGAGATGATTTCTGAGAAGAACGACCGGCTGCTGGGATCTTCTGGCTCCTCAAAAACTTTGGAGGAACAAAAACAAAATATTTCTGATGATATTTCAGACTTGCAGCAGAAACGTTAAAGGCTGTTTGAGTAGAACACGTAAAATCCTGCACATAAACACTACCGTTCAAAAGTTTAGTGTCGTTCAAAAGTTGTTGTTGTTTTGTGAAAAATGAATACTTTGATTCTGCAAAGATGCATTAAATTGCTCAAAAGTGACAGTAAAGACATTTATAATATTGCAAAATGTTGTTCTTTTGAATGTTCCATAATAATTTCCACAAAAATAATAAGCAGCACAACTGTTTTCAATATTGATAAAGAGATATTTCTTGCACAAAATCAATATATTAGAATGATTTCTGAAGGATCATGTGACACTGAAGACTGGAGTAATGATGCTGAATATTCAGCTTTAACATCACAGGAAAAAAAGCATTTTAAAATATTCATATTAGAATATTCAAATAGATATGAAAAAAATTTAATATAAAAATATATAAAATACATTAAAAGTTATTTTACATTATAATATTTCACAATAATACTCTTTTTGTACTGTCTCGGTGAGCATAAGTGTCTATCAAAAACATAAAAAAATAAAAAATCGGACCCGAAGCTTTTGAACAGTAGTACGTGTATATATATCCCAAAATGCACTTGACTTGATCTTCCCATTTCTAGTGTGACCAATGGACCAGAACTGAACCCTATGAACAAGAGCACGCATTTCCTTTTCATTAAGAATAGTTGGGAATGTAATACTCGCTAAAATAACTTAAAAATAAAGGATTGAATTGTGTATATAATGAAAAAGAAAAACACCAACAGTCCATTTATTCCATCCAAACACTTCAATTTGATGCACTTACTTGACATCTGTTTTGTAACTAGTGGATTTGACAGGAAGTAAATGGCGAGAGTTTGCTGTTTTGCTTTGTTGGTCTGGAGTGAGGTCCAAGTTCAAAACAGAGCGCTCGATTAATTACATAACCTAATGATTACATAACACAAGGCCATGCTGACATTAAACAGTGGACGGCAAAAACGACCTTTTAGTGAGAGAGAGTCTGATCGTGTTTTAGGAGAAAAGGGCACTGTGTCAGGGAACATTCCCATGTAGAGTTCAGTCTCTCTGTCTGATGGAAAATAAAGGGACACAAGAATATAAAAGCAAAAAAAAAAAAAAAAAGGGGAAAAAAAAAAAAAAAAGAGACTGGACTGACTTAAAATACTCACATTTGCTATGTCTATCGCAGAGCGCGGCGGCCCTCATGTCACACAGGCGGATGGTTCCTTTACTACTGCTGTACACAAAGACGTTACACTGGTGGGGGTGACACTCGGCCGCCGTTATCACCTCCGTCAGCTCCTCCATATTGGCTGGTTTTATATCTACAATGTCTGAGGGGGGAACCGGTAAAGGAAACCAACAGAAATAACTTCAAACACACTTTAAAGTTTTAGAGATGTGTCAGAGATGCAGGACTTGGCCATTCCTTGGGGATTCGGCTTCTGAAGAAACAGTTTGTCAAAAAAGATGATTGGAGCTGATGGTGTCATTTTAAATATATTCAGATTGGCCAATGTCTTAATCCAAAAACAATAAAAATGTGTATGTTTTAAAGTAAAATACAATTGTTCAAGGGGACATATTGTATTTTATACAACAGTTCGTTCTGGTTCTCAAATCTGATTGGATGAGAACCGTGAGATATTGTACTGGTATCGCCACAGGAACACCCTTTCACCGTTTGTATCACACCGCTTCCTGTATTTCTCACAGCGAGTGTCATGTCGGACACCCAAATCCACTAAAATTTAAAAATAATACTGTTTTTGTGTCACGGAATGTAATTTTAAGAGTTTTTTTAGGCGAGAATGTACTTGTTTAGACTTCAAATATACGGTTTGTTAATAAAGATAACGTCTATTTGAAAATTTGCTTCGACATTTTCGGAGACGTGAGCTCCAGGGCATCAGAGGGCGATCAGCGCTCATGAACCCGCCGAGAGCAGCCTCACCTCGGCCAGATCTTCTGGAATTTGCTGCTGGCTCTGATGTCTCTATAGTGGTTAAACATGAGATATAATTTGTTTTGGGTAAATCTGACGGGCAGACTTGTGGTCTCAATCTATCATTTGTTCCAGAGCAAATAGTTTTGGCTGAGAGCAAAA